AACTATGGGTTCGTAATGCAAACCAAAACGTTCGTAGCTTACGAAGGATTTTGAAGCGTTGTATTACGAACTAATTGTTCGTAAGCTTACGAACACCCACTCCCACTTTCCCGCCGCCACCCCACCGTGTCTGTAAATTGCTGGGCGCGCCATTGAAGGGGTGGCCGTTTAATTGGAGCGCAGCGTCCTTCATATTATACGAGCTTAAGGTTTCGATTAATGGCCTACATTAAAAAAACCACACACAAAGAAAAAAACACGTTTGTGATGTCGTTTTCAGGAAAAACATTAAAAAACGTTCATGGAGCCACTTTTACTTTACGAAACAGAAATGAGTGCGCTTTGTGTCGCTCTGGTGGTCTCCAGGTACAAGCGAGGGTCCCGTGCCTTTGAAGGATGTGGGATGTCAATTTGCGCTAATGGGGCCGAAAGGGCCGAGTGGGCAGCCGAACCTTGTTGGCGATGATCCCGGGGGGGATGTACAGCCTCGAATAGAGAGACCGGCGCGCACGGAGCACGCGGAGCGCGCGCGCACGGAGGTTCATCAGCTTCCGGGGGAAAAAATGAAAAAAGAAATGGACGAGGGAAAAAATAAGAGAAATACGCGCAGGGTGCGATAAAAAAAGTAGTCCAGCGCGCCTGGCAGGTGTGCGCGCCACGAGAGAGGATAAGGATTAGACCCGAACGGGGTTTTCTCAAACGGGAATCCAAATGCTGGCGGGTGTATGCCGCGGGCAAGGCAGGGAGAGGGGGAGAAGGGAGGGAGGCTCAGCGGGGTGGGGTAAAGGGGCGTCTAAAAAAAACTGTTAGGTAAAGTGATAAAAGTAAGGTCGGATTCACTGTTGGAGTGCGGGGCTGCCATGCAGGTGCGGGTGGATCTGAAATGTACCGTTCGGTGGGCCCGCCGCTGCCGCTCCCTGGCATAAATAAACCATGCGTGTGGGGCGCGCAGCGCGGGTACAGTGTCGGCCAAAAGTGTGTGCGATGCGAAAAGAGAGCAGCCGGCACCTGGCCCAGCTGCTTACATTGGGATCGGCCCGTATAGTGTGTAGCGAATAGAGCCCCCTACCCCCCTCCCTGCCTCCTGGGCCCCCTCCCCACATGGCGCCCACAGGCCGCCGGCCCGCCACGCTGCCGACACAGCAAGCCTCGCGTTGTTCCCCCCCAGCCCCACCTCCAGCTTGGCTGGACCGCAAACTGAAACTTGGCACCGTTTCAATTTTGGACTTCCGCCGGCACTAGTGGCTGCTGCGGGGGCCTGCTGCTGGTGTATTTAGCTGTTGCACAATGCAAACTCTCTGGCTGCCCCGCCCCGCCCCGCC